CGAACTAAGAGCCTCGGACAAGTTTTGACTGGGCCTGATCCAAATTCTTATTAACAAATGAGGTTGTGCAATATTTTCCTTAGGCCTAGTATAAACCAAATCATGGAATACGCTTAAAAGACCAGTCTTAGTCATACAATGTGGATTATGTCTAGAAATAACACAATATCTAGGTATACTTTTGTGTGAAGAGTAAATTTAAAAAAACGAATGTGATTGACTTCCCTGACCAACTATTTCTTGGTTTTTGTGCATAATGGCAAATTCCGAAAGGAGTGAAAACCTTATCTTAGAATATATTACATATTTTTTTATTCTTTTCTGAACAGTAGAATAGTAACGTTAAGTTTACACTCAATGTTGGTTATCGTTTCTATTGAAAGGATAATGGTTTACTTTTTTGGATGTTCTAGAAATAAAGTAAGGGAATACGTTTGTTAAGAATGCATATAGTGAACAAGCATATGCTATCGCAGATATGAAGTCCAAGATGGTGTGGACTTCTGTTTTGTCCCAGTCTCCTTTAGCTTTATAGTGTTGTTTCGACTTTATTTTTGCAACTTGGTCGGAGCGTCAGGGAGATTTATGGAACGTACCTAGTCCTGTGCCTTCTGTCATAGCATTCTTGATTTCCAGTATTGGGCCATTGGCTGTGTACCTTCCCACTTGTCACTGATAAGTTGTAGGTTACTTACAATGGTGCCCTTAACTGACGATGCCGGCGAAACTTTGAGGATTGTGCTTAGCCAATGGTCCAATCCTGGAAATCACGAATAGTGTAGCAGAGGGCACAGGACTAGGTACGTTCCACAAGCTCTCCTTGACGTTCCAACCGTATTACAAAAACAAAGTCGAACCAGCACTATAAGGCACGTGCTAGATACGAAGACCAAGATGTTGTGGCCTCTATTTTGGTCGCAGTCTCCTTTCAATGTATAGTTGTCATTTGACCTTGTCTTCACAACTCGGTTATATTGGCAGTGAAATTTGGTAGAACGCTCCTTGTTCGGAGTTCATAGTATGCAGGATACTCTCCAGATTCGGACCGTGAAATTGGTACATTTCCAGACGTTTCGCCGACATCTTTAGTGAGTCTTGCTACTCTTAACAACAAGCTAAAATTCGTTAATGACACAAGTAGAATTAATCCCTTGACCAATTTTCTACCGAAGCCGTTGTGCTATCACTCGTCTTTATCTCTTGACCCCTCTACCTATTTCTTACTCTCTTATCTCGCCCTCGTCTTATTACACCTTCTGGCATGTTTATGTCCCACAAGAGGTGCGCCCTTTTAGGGAATTTACTGTGGCGTTATTACACCTGCTGGCAGAGTTAGCTATAAATGTGCCTATCCCCCAATCAAACACGGATATTACAAGACAAGCTAAAGCGAGATGCCTGGGTCAAGGATATATCGTAAATCAGAGGAAAATGAATCACAAAAACGAAGAGGATGAGGAAATAAAGCAGACCTTCTCAGTGAATGTAGTCAGCTCGAATAAGCAATTACAACTTTGGGGGCCTAAGGGGAGGTATTGGGTCACGAAAATTTGTCCTTATGATCAAATAGATCAATAATCCACTCGAGATGCAGCAGGCGACCAGGGATAGATGTCCACAGTTTGCTCAGAGTATATGGGTTTAATCAAGTAGATGGTGCGTGAAAGCAATGCTTCATATACGCAAGCATGGAAATTAGAGACTAGGCGCCATGCAGATGAGGCGACATTGTACCTGCTAGGGAAGGCTTGACAAATAACACATGGAGTAAAAAGTACACTGAGGCTGAAACCCAGTGAAATCGGTCAACCAGAACGATTAGAAACGGACCTACGGGCCCATGTGGCAGATGTGGAGAAGCTCGAGTTGGATCAGCCACTCGAAAGTGAGAGCAGCAAGGCAAGCAGCAGATCTGGTGACGCCACAGTAAATTCGCCAAAGGGCACATCTCTTGTGGAATATAAATATGCCAGAAGTTGTGATAAGATGAAGGTGGGACAAGACGGTAGGAAATGTATAGATAGGCCAGGACAGAAAGAGGAGTGATATCACAACCATTTCTTCCAGAATTGGTCAATAGGTTGATTCCACTTGTCTCTTTGACGAATTTTAACTTGGTTCTGAGAGTGAAAAGACTCACTGACGATACCGGCGAAGCGTCTGAGAATGTACCAAGTCCACGGTCCGACTCTGGATATTATCCTGTATAGTATGGACTCCGGACACGGTGCGTTCCTCTAGGTCTTTCTGCCAATATGACCAAGTTGAGAAAACGAGGTCAAATAATAACTAAGCATATGCTAATTTTACTCCTCTTTTCTCATATCCACAAAACAAAGATTGACATGTAAAAATCAGTAACTGTTCGGATTATGAGATTATCTATTTAAATAATCGATTAGGCTTAAGCATTTATTACTTGGTAACATTTATCCTCTTGGCTTTCTTTAAAATAACTTTAATTAATGAGGACTACTATTTTCTTTTGAGAGTATTTAAGGACAAATGGGGAATAACATACCTTTTCTGATGCCTCAGTTTTGTCTTTGTGCTTTATTAAAAGATAGGCGAACGGATTAATAATAATAATAATATATTTTTTTAAATATATATTAATCTACTCATACCATCAGTATAATATTTTAAACGCGTCTGATCTTATATTCATTAAATGTCCGGCAGGACTCCCGCTTGGACTAGTGTCGGCGGGAAGAAAGTATTTGAATTTTAACTAGTGAACTCATCGCTTTATTTCTTATTATCGAATATTATTTCAAAAAAATATCTTCACCGTCAATCGTTGCGATGCAGTTTGATTTTTAGATTGATCTGAAGGAATCTGTTTTGATAGAGCTAAATATATTCCGGAAAGATACTAGTAACAAATTTATTTCTTATGAGTAAGTTTAGAAATTAATAAATAATAGTAACAAATTTTATATTGATGCTGGTTTATTTTCAGATAAACACATATGCCAATTAAGGTGGATTTCTGCTCAATTATGTGGTAATTCAATTATTTAATTTTTATTTGGTTTGCTTTCAGGTTAACGACATGGCGTTTCACCCCATTCACGGAACACTAGCAACGGTTGGATCTGACGGCAGGTATATGTTTTGGGACAAGGATTCACGGACAAAGATCCGCGGCTTAGAGACTCCCGATCAACCACTTACTTGCTGTGCATTCAATGCCAAAGGTCAAATCTTCGCCTACGCTGCCGGCTACGACTGGTCGAGAGGACACCAGTTTGTAGAACAAAATAAGCAGCCAAAGATAATGCTACGTGCTTGCTTGGATGAGATGAAACCTACTAGAAAGCCTTAGGACCGATTTTGATAAATATTATGTATTGTATAATTTGCACAATGCTCTTCGTCTCTGTCAATATAATGGCGATACATAAATCAAATTAAACTGAGTTTTTTAAAGTCGGTATTAGTTTATTTGGTCAAACCTTCCTAATTCAACGAACTTCGCATCTTTCGTATTGTTTAGTCATCTTTGTTAGACTAATATGATCCATCTTAGCATCTCTCATACTTAACTATACAGCTTTAGTAAATCCTCCCACATTAACAATTATCACTACTATTGCCACTGAGTGCCAATAGTGACCGCCAACTACCCATTTAGGATGATAGCTATATATACAGAATTTGTTTTATAGGCGAAGGTATGAAGACCAAGATGGTGTGGCCTTTTGTCTGGTCGCAGTCTCCTTTCGTTGTAAAGAAGTTGTTTGACCTTGTTTTCGCAACTTGATCATATTCGTAGGAAGACCTAGAGAAACGCACCTAGTCCTGAAAACATAGTATGCATGATAATTTCCAGGGTCGACCGTGGACGTGCTACATTCCCAGACGTTTCCCAGGCATCGTCTGATCTTTGCCATTCCTATCGCTACACTACGACTCGTCAAAGAGAGCATTGAAACCGATCATTTGACCTATTGCCTACTAAACATTCGTAGTATCTCTCCTTCCGCCATGGGCTAATTACCAGTCCTATATCCTCGTATCATCCCTTTACTGTCATAATTTTATTCCGTGCTGATTTAAATGTAGTGTGATGTGCTCTTTAGAGCGGCTTTCATGAGAACCCTCCACACTTCACGATGGCGTTCTCACCCCCCTTCATCCTTGTGCTCAAAATG